GCCAAGGCCAGGGGCTGTAACCGTGTGTGTTTGGAGATGTGGACTGATGTGGGGGAGCACGTGGCTGATGGAGTGTGAGGCCTTGAGCCTACTGAGGGGAAGCGGCCTGGCCCCCACTTCCTCTGGGGACCCCAGTGGCCGTCCATGAGCCCAGGCCCCAGCTTGGAACCGGCAGGGACGCGGCAGGTTGGCTCCATCATGCTTTCTGGGCGAAGGCGTCCCATCCTGCACTTCCTGGATGTTGGGGAGCCCAGCCCCACCGTGTGGTTCTCTTGAGCTGCACTTCAGCAGGCCTTCCTGCCACCCTGGCTCGGACCCAGGGTGCCTTGGGCTGCTCACTTCCTCCTCATCTGCTGGGATGGCTGCCATGTGGGGGGTTCCCAGTTCCCCTGCTCAGTGTCCTTTCTGGTGTCGCCATTCACTATGTTGGTCTGACTGCTCTCTGAGCTATTAGTGTGTGTTCTACCCAGGACCTGTCTCTTGCCTGCCTGGGCTGGGACCCTGGTGTTACTCCTGCCCTTACAAGCGTTGGTGCAGATAAGGGGAGCAGGGCCCTGGAGCCAGCCATGCCTGCATTCCACCCCATTTTCTCACTTGCATGCTGTGTGGTCTCATCAAGCTGCTTCCCTTCTCTGGACTCCAGTGTCCTCTGTGAAGGTGCTGGTTGTGAGTGACTGTGGACATGCACTCCTGGCACCCAGGGGATGAGCTGGGCTTCCTCCCAGCTCCTAGAGCTGGGCCACAGAGAGAGTGGCAGGAGCAGGCCCTTGCTCTGTGCCCCTATCCGCCAGTGTGCCCCTGGCCTGCCCAAGTACACCAGGCCTGGACAGTCCCTCGGCCGGAAGGGGCCGGTGCCCTGGAGGATCTGAGCAGGCTGGCGTCCCCCAGGTGCAGGCCAATGTGGAGAAGTCGCTGACACTGTTCGGGCAGCTGCTGACCAAGAAGCACTTCCTGCTGACTTTCATCCGCACACTGGAGGCCCAGCGCAGCTTCTCCATGCGCGACCGCGGGAACGTGGCCTCCCTCATCATGACGGCCCTGCAGGGCGAGATGGAGTACGCCACGGGCGTGCTCAAGCAGCTGCTGTCTGACCTCATCGACAAGAACCTGGAGAGCAAGAACCACCCGAAGCTGCTGCTGCGGCGGTGAGCCCACCCCAGCCTGCCCCCGCCCCTGCCCTGCCACCGTCTCTGCCTACCCCTTCCCCTGCCCCTGCCTCCACCCCTGCCTGCCCCTCATCCCTGCCCCCGTCCCTGCCTCCTCCTGCCCCCATCCCTGCC